TTTCGCGATGGGGGCATCATGGACCCAAATCCTAACGTGCACGCTCTGTTTGTTTCCGCCCCAGACTTCACCTGGACCTCCTGGAAAAAAGCGTCACCCCAAGCCCGTGTACTTCCGGCAGCAGGCTTCTCTGTCGGACGCTGGGAGGCAAACGCCTGCCCGCTGGTTGACCCGTCACGGCCATGCCCGCGTCGGCCCAGCCCGGCCCACCTGGAGCAGTTCCGTGAGTGACGGGGGGGGGGGCCCTCTCCTTTGAAGATCGGGGTGGTGGTCGGGGTGAGGGTCTCAGAGTCTCAGCGACGCATCTGTCCCTTGGAGAACCAAAGCTCCATAAACGTTAGGGGACTGGCCCATCTCTACAGCAATACCAGCCCCAGCCCTTCCTGGCTCGACCCAAGAATTGCTCTGGATCGAAGGAGACTGGGTTCGCTTGCTCCCTAAGACGAGTGACCACAAATACAGGGTGTCCCCCAAACAAGCAGACACGCTTTGCATGACTATTCATTCCAAGGGGTTAAATCTGAACCGAAAGAGACATCCGTTGAGCTGTCAGAAAAAGGTGTGTCTACATTTTGGGGATAAATACTAATGTCGCTCTGTTGTGAAAGGGAGAAAAAAATAAATTGCGGAAAAAATAAAGGCGGGGGTGGGGGGCTGGAATGGCTGGTTGGCATGGAGAGCAGTTTGCTAGTGACATCACTTCCTGTCCTAAGACACAGTTGGGACTCTGCATCCTGTTTTCCAGCCTTTATCATTGATTGATGGATGGATGGATGGATGGATGGAGGGATTGTATCTTTATTGTTGAAAGTATTTTCATGGAACAGACTTTTGAACCTCAGAGGGAAGGCAGGGGGGTGGGGGGTGGGAAGAGGGTTGAACTTGCCTGTGTAGATCCATCACCCATTTCCAGCCTGTAATCAGGGGCTTCCCTCACTGTGCTGACTGCTGTCTAAGCTCAAGGTCAGCCAGGTTTGGAGAGGAAGGGGGTGGAGTCCCAGAGCCCTGGTTGAGGCATCCCCTCATCCCCTGGATAACCGGAATGGCATTTGGATCTGAGAGGCTGAGGGTGTGGAGGAGGCCCTGGCCAGGAACCATAAGACCAAAGCAAAGCGCACACATGTGCCTTCTCTCTCTCTCTCTCTGCCTTCTCTCTCTCTCTCTCTCTCTCTCTCTCTCTCTCTCTCTCTCTCTCTCTCACACACACACACACACACACACACAGTGTACAAGTGGGGCGTACCTAGAACCAGCCAGCTTGTAAAGTTGGTTTGTACAGTTAGTTTCCCACCTTCCATAGGCAAGAAAGACCAAGCAGAATGGTGAGTGCTTTGCAATGCAGAAGGGTTTGGGAGCCCGGCCGGCGTGGCTCAGTGGTTGAGCGTCAACCTAGGAACCAGGAGGTCAGGGTTCGATTCCCAGTCAGGGCACGTGCCCCGGTTGCAGGCTCCATCCCCAGTGGGGAGCATGCAGGAGGCAGCCAATCCATGATTCTCTCTCATCATGGATGTTTCTATCTCTCTCTCCTTCACCCTTCCTCTCTCTGAAATAAATTAAAAAAAAAAAAGGTGTGGGAGACAAAAGAGAAGACTGGGGAGCGAATTGACAGGGGGACCTGGTAGGTGGAAATTTTTCTGAGGGAGAATGCCATTCTCTTATTAGAAACTCATTCGCCAAGTACCATAGTCACTAAGTGACTCACTGGGGAGAAGGCAAGAAAGATCCAAGGTGGGTGGGAGGGGGCGGAGCTCCTATTTTGGGAAGGGAGGCACCTCCAGCCTGCTTTGATCATTCCCTAAAAGAGGAGAACATAACCTTTCTATTCTCAGGAGGGGAGCTAACCTTCCCCCTACCCGCTCCCGCCTGTCTCCCCTCCCCCCCCCCTGGGCCCCACACACTGCTCTCCCCAGGGGGGAGCTTGAGGCCGCCTTTGCGTTGGTTGGTTGAAGAATCCCTTTCTCCTTTTCTTTCGATTCTTAAGAAAAAAATATTCTCACAAAAGCAGTGCTCTGTTCCGCCTGCCATTATGCTAAAAGCTTTTCCTGGGAAGACAATAGCTGCTCTCAGAGAAAAAGATTTTACACGGAGTCCCTGGGGGTGCACAGCGCTGGCACCTGCCTGGGGTCGGGAGTTGTCACTCGGAAGCGGTTTTAAAGGAGCGCAGAGTGGAAAACGAAGCAGTTACAGAATCCCCCTTTCGGCTTCTTCGAGTATCATCTTGCCTTCTCTCAGGTCTGGGTCTCCCTCAGAGACACCTGTGCAAGTGCGATGAGCAGTGCATCCCATGGGAGAGAGCTGGGATTGAGGGCAGCGCCCCACGGACAACAAACGCGCGGGAAGAATCCAAATTTCTGGTTTTTTGTGTGTTTTTTGTTGTTGTTGTTTTTAATATTTTTTATTTTTATTTTTTTAAATATATTTTTATTGATTTCAGAGAGGAAAGGAGAAGGAGAGAGAGATAGAAACATCCATGATGAGAGAGAATCATTCATTGGCTGCCTCCTGCACCCCCCCCCCCCCCACGGGGGATCGAGCCACCAACCCAGGCATGTGCCCTTGACCGGACTCGAACCTGGGGCCCTTCAGTCCGCAGGCTGATGCTCTATTCACTGAGCCAAACCGGCCAGGGCTGTGTGAGTGTGTGTGTTTGTTTTTTAATCCTCACCAGAGA